GATGCCTTTGACCTCCATGTCGAAAGCCATATTTTTTGAGCTTGTGGAATAAGAAGAAGCGCAGTTCATCGATATCGTAGTAGCCGACAGTGTATCGCTCTATCACCCAACGAAGATTCAGGCAGGTGTTCATCTCTATTTTGAGGTCGGGTCCGCCGATCTTATCATTCACACCGGTGTCCGCGGCTTCCACCTCAGCTTCTTCATTGACCTGAGTGGCTTCCACCTCGAGAATTGAATCATTTCCTGCTTGAAAGCTGATTTCATACATGGTCTCGCCATAGGATGACTTCTCTTTCTCAAGTTTGGCCATCTCGGTTTGATGTGCATCCCGTTGCCGGCCCACCAGTTCGCAAGCTTCAGTACATTCTTTCCGAGTCTCGTCGTGCTCGGCTTTCTCCTTCATCAACTTCTCTTCTATTTCCTCAGCCTTGGCTTCCAAAGCCTTAGAATGCTGCTCGGCAAAGGCAAGGCGCGCCTTAAGATCGGCCACCTCGACTTGAAAAACTTTCTTCTCCTCGGACAATGCCGAGATTTCTGCCTGTGCCATCTCCAATTGGGAAGTTTGCTCAGAATTTTTTTCCTTCAAGCCAGCCTCAACCTTAGCTGTCTCATCCTTCAAAGATGCAATCATCGCATCTCGTTCAACCACGATCTGTTTCTTTCCCTCTAGATGTGCAGCAATTCGGCTGTGATCATCTTCTGCCGCCACCAAACTCGGAAGGAAGTGTTCTTAACCAAACAATGGAGGTTGATGAAAAAGACAATTGGAGGAAGTCGATTCGTGAACTCTTGTAGGGACGCATACCTACAAGAGATAGGCAAGAAGCGGAGAAAGCTACTCGATATCTAACCAAATACTTTGAAGTCTATGGAATTCTATATAAGAAGTCGATGACCGGCCCTCACCTGCACTGCGTTTCCGAAGAAGAAAGGAATTACGTCCTAAGAGAGATTCATGAAGGATGTTGCGGGGCGCACATAGGGTCTCGGGCCCTAGCCGGCAAAGCTCTGCTAGCGGGCTATTATTGGCCAAAAATCTGGAAGGTGGCCGAGTAGTTAGTGCAAGGATGTGAAAGATGCCAGCGACATGGTCCGATTCCCCATATCCCGGCTGAAACCATGACAACAATCAACTGCCCAACACCTTTCGCACAGTGGGGAATCGACTTGGTGGGACCTTTGCCAATGGGAACAGGGCAGAGAAAATTTCTTGTAGTCGCAGTCGACTACTTTAGCAAATGGGTCGAGGCAGAGCCGCTAGCAAAGATCAATGAAGAAAAATGATAAATTTCCTATTCAACAGCATTTGTTGTCGATTCGGAGTCCCGAAGATATTAATCTCAGACAATGGAACTCAATTTCAGGGCAAACGAATCCAAGCATGGTGTCTTGACATGGGCATTAAACAACGATTTGCCTCAGTGGCGCATCCCCAGGCTTATGGCCAAGTTGAAGTGACAAACCGAACTATCCTCCAAGGACTGAAGAAAAGATTGGAAAAGTGACAGGAGCTTGGGTCGACGAGCTATCCACAGTCCTTTGGGCCTATCGAACGACTCCGAAAAGTTCTAGGGGTCAATCCCCGTTCCACATGGTATATGGAATGGATGCGCTGCTACCCATTGAAGCGGGTTTGTTGTCCCACAGGTCGACTTTCTATGAAGAAGGGAAGAACGAGAAGATGATTACATAAGCCCTCGACTTAATTGAAGAAGGGCATGAGGAAGCTTGGGTGTGGTCTGTCGAATACAAGCAAAAGATGCGCGCAGCCTTTGACAAAAAATTTTGAACCTGACGTTTCCAAGTGGGAGACCTCGTCCTCAAGCGAACAGATGCCCCTCAAACATGTGAGAAAACTTGAAGCTAATTGGCAGGGACCTTTTACAGTCACAAAAGTTCTTGAGAGAGGAGCATACAAACTCGAAGATGGAGAAGGTCGATAGCTGCCTCGATCCTGGCACATCATCCATCTCAAACGCTTTTATGCTTAAGGCAATGTCTTGAATCCTTTTTTGTACTGAAAAACGTTCGAATCAAATTCAGTAATGCAATGAATTTTGTGTTTCAATTGTGTCTTTTACATATCCATATCAATCTTATAATAATTACTTGACAAGTTCAATTTTTTAAGAAACGGCTGTAAAGCCAACTAGCTCCAAACAACTACGAAGTTGTACTTTCGAGTGGAACCTCGAACAAGGCTATGAAGCCTGCAACTACGAAGTCGATGAAACAACTACGAAGTTGTATTTTCGCGTGGAACCTCGAACAAGGCTACGAAGCCTGCGACTACGAAGTTGATATAGCAACTACGAAGTTGTCGTTTCGAGTGGAATCTCAATCAAGGCTACGAAGCATGCGACTACGAAGTCGACAACATAACTACGAGGTTGTATTTTCGAAAAGAATCTCAAATAAGGCTATGAAGCCTGCGACTACGAATCCGATAAAGCAACTACAAAGTTGCGAAACAATGACAATTCAAGCGACAAAATACGACAAAAAAAAAACGAACGAACGAACGAAAACAAAAGATAATATTCATGATAATTTCATTACAAGAGGATCGTCTCGACCTTTACAATCTGAAAATAGGTCGAGAACGATAATAAGAAAAAGCAAAAGCAAAGCTTCAAAAAATAAAAGGCGACAGCCTCAAGATACAACTTTAGGAATCGACATCGCTCTCCTGGACCTCTCCCTCAAGATTAGCCCCACTCGGTTGAGGTAATTCAGTCGGATCGATCAAGGGGGTGGGAGGGGCCTCCAGCTGAGAAGAGAGTTTGGCGACATGAATGGCCTTGGCCTCGAGGCCAGACCACCACGGGTAATCATCCGGAAGGGATGTGTCACCCTCATAGCCATCGGGGTCGGGAAGCGCCCGCCTCATCGCCTCGCGGTCGAGTTTTCCCGCAAACTCAGACCCCACCACCACCTCCTCCCATGCGTCGAAGGTATGGTCGAAGTACTGAACGGCAGCGGGACAAAGCCTGTCGAGAAACTCGGGCGAGTTGCAGAAAACCTTGATAAATTCCTTGCGATAAGTCTCGATGAACACAAAACCCATCACAGACTTGAGAAACGATTTTCGGCCCTGAATGGTGCCGATGTCCCTCTCGAATACAACCTCCTCCCGAGCTTTCTCAAGGTCGGCCTGGAGCTGCTCGTTGGTGTGCTGAGCCACGGCCTTGTCGGCCTTCAGCTTGTCGACCAAAGCTCTCGACGCCTCCAAATCCGTCTT